ACCTCGTGCTTTCTCTCCTGGAACAGAGGAGATGGCTGCACTTGCAACAGCTACTGGGCTAAAGCATCTATGGAAAGGCAATCTTATGCTGTCTTTGGCCACACAGAAAAACTGATGCCACGTTGTTACTGGAGGCTATCAAGAACCAGATATTTTACTTCTCTTCTTCTGGATGTTCTCAACCCATAATCAAAACTCCTGAAGCCTCTATGTGTTGCTCAAACCAAACTGCAGCAAAAATACAAAGAAGCACAGGGGTAACATGAAAGTGAGACTGATAAAAGAGGGAGGAAAGATGGAACAAACCAAAGAAAGAGCCCCAATCTTGTACCTGATGCGTAACAAACTGTACAGTATATACATCTTCATCATCTATTATCCTCCCCAAAGAGCAAATAAAAAGAACTTGGTAACACAGAAGGAGGAAAACAAAATATACACCCTATATTGTATTTGCCATGGAGCAAGCGACATATTTATAGGCTAGTCTCTATAACTTAATGCTGTGTAACAGCATTTTTTTTCTTTTAATTTACAAAACAAAATATTTATCGAGAAATCATCTAATCATATTGCTCTTCAATACACTTCTGTAGACAAGTAAGACTCAAAGTTAACTTCAGCAAACTGCAGCTATTGAGAGTCCATGAATGGCCACAAAAATCCTCAATTCAAGTCAGTCCTTGGAAGCATTACCACGTGCTGCTGTAGTTCAGTATATAAAGGTGCTATAGATATATGTACCTCCCATGTACAGACAACATGTGGTGGAAGGCTTGTCATCACTTCTGAAGCTTAAGAGACTGGTTAACCTCATGTACATCAGATTCATTTCCATGTTCCATGCATCTTACATTGACTTCATGAAAATGAGGACACAAATAGGAAGAAGAGCAAAACTTTAGTCAAACACTGCTTTAGAAATGCTGCAGCAGAGGCCAATGTCCTCCAGTTATAGAAACCACTGAATTTCCCTTTTTATCTTTTCTTGGTTGTTTTTTTAGTCAAAATAAATCTCAGGGCTAGAGTACAAAGTGCAGGACCGACCCACTTGAGGAAACAACTTTAAAAACTGTGTTACAACGGCACCATCCCATTCACCAACGGGACCTTCATGTCTTGAAGGCTGTTCATTATCTTCTTCTGGTGACCAACAAGTGTCACGCCCAGACGTCTCAAATCCCTGTGGGAGAAAACAGACGTTGGTTCCATGGACCTCTTAGGCACACGTCACCATGCATACCACGCACTGCATGCACTGCTGCTGCTGCCAGTGCCTACCTGTTATCACTGGCAGCTCTCAGAGCCAAATTGGCACATTTTATTTTCCCCATTTGTGAATTTTTTTTTTTTTTTTTTTTTTTTTTTTTTTTTTTTTAAATGGCTGACAGTATCTCAGAGAAGTGATGTGATTTGAATGAGATCACCTTGCTGGCCAAGGAGAAAGGCCAGACAGCAAACTGTTAGCATCATCTCTGGCCAAGGATTCTGCTAGGTGTGTAAAGTCCTATTTCCAAGAGAAAAGCCATGTAAGAAAGCCCATGCTGCTGTTTCCTCTTCTCATGGGAGAGGCTGGTATTTGATCTTGGATATGAGCAGTGAGGAGTGAGGTCAACTGTGGACACACACATTTAAAGAGCTAGGAAATTGCAGCTTGGCAATTCCTCTCAGGCCTGGATTTCTTCTGTCTCTCAGGTCCATTCCCAGGCTGACAAGCTGACTACAGCTTCAGTCAAGGGAGGTAGTCTCCCAGAGTGATAACTTGGTGAAAAACAGAAGGGAATTCATAATAAAGATTAACACCTGGTGTCTTTCCCATGGGACATCCGGACATGCTGTCCCAGGGGATGTTTGTCCCAATCGTCCAGTGAACTACTGTCCTGTCCTAGCTGCACGTAACACACTTTAAATACGGGATGTCCGTACAATAAGGTTGGCCTTTTTTCCCCAAAAGAGGTCTGTGTGTGTTGCTGTCCTTTCTCTCTCTTTGCAGTGCAGTAACCATAGTCAACCTGCGCTTTCTTCCTCTTCAGATGAGGGAAAGCCAAATAAACACAAATGGCAAAAGCCTTGAGCATGGCCACCATCCCAATGACTCCTTAAAGTCAACAAGAATTACGAAACAGCTCCCCTTTGGGTCTTTGCAAATCTTCCCATAAACCCACATTTGGTTTTGCTTTGGGGAGGTGAGTTCTAGAAGCCAAGGGCATTTGTGTTGATTCTGCCTACTGGGCTACCATTACAGGAAAGCTGTAAAATAAGACAGTTAATGTAAAAGACAGGATCAGGAGGAAACATTGTCATCAACTCCATCCTCCAAAATTCAGGTGTATAGATGAAAGTAATCACTTTCATGTGATTCATGTGAATGGCATAAAAGAGGTACATGAATAGCACCAGGGTACAATTTATCCCATCCAAAGACAGGAGTGGGACAAATCATCTCCTGGAGATATCACAGCAGGATGTTGGGTTATCAGATTCAATGACACCTCTAAAGCCAGGTAACGCCATCAGTTATGGTAGAGTGTAATTGTAGAGATTTCTTATTGGGTAGAAAAGTGTTAACAAAGAAATTGTAGGAATAAAAGCTCAGCAGAAATATCAAGACAGTTACATATATGTTTCCAGCACAAGATACAGAATCTGTTAGAGAAGCAGGTTGAATATAAGAGATGTGCTGTTTTGTCTGAAGACTTCCACTATGAAAGTATCAGTCCCTCACTTTCTACCTCCAGACTGGAATGAATTAAGGAAGTTTCTGCATTGTGCCCTACGGTCCTGCTGATACACTTGTGAATCCCCAAGCTGCAGACACCCTGTGTGCAAGTCTTTTAGGAGAAAGTTCTCCAGCAAAAGGCACTGAGATGTGACAGCTTCCTTTTGGAAACCATGCTGCCACATTCATGCAAAGACTGGGAATCCCCAGCAACACCTGGGAGCCCAACCATCACCTGAGACATAATTGCAATCCTGGCCTACAGTTCACAATAGGGCTGTGTGCTGGACTGCGGGTGAACAGGTGCAAGGAACACCAAAACATTTTCACGTGAGCTACCCATGTGTGTCTCTCTCAGCAGCTTCACATTCTGCATAGAAACTCCTGTGCAAGTACAGCCAACCATCCATGTCCACAAATTGCAGGTGAACGCTGCTTTGAATAAAAAGCAGTCTTGAGTGAAGGCTAATACATTAACACATAAACTAGTTGAAGCCAAAAGCTATATTTGTACTTCTCCAAGGACTGTCATGTTTTCTGCCTTTTGATTTGGAAAATATCAAATTTTTTACTTTGGGCTAAACACATAATTTCATTAATGTACCCTTTTTCAGCAATGCTTCTTGATGATGCAAAGGGAAATCATAACATAGGGGGCACAGAGCAAAGGAGGTCAATGAGACACATCAGCAGTGCTCCTTGCCTGGCAGAGAAAAGGCTGCAGCACCTGAAAAAGGTGTCTACCTTCTCAGGGGGACATGCTTTCATTTCTGCCTCCACTGAATTGTGAAACTAGTTCATCAAGCCATCTTAATAATGAAGGAAAATGAAATAATGCTATTGTTACATGCAATTTATTTTATGTACACAGCACAGTTGGGAGTTCACACCAGAGATTAAAAAAACCACCAAAACCAAAAAACAAACCAAACCCCAAAACCAACACAGTATAGGACCTGATTTTTAAAAGAGACAACATCCATCCTCCCCCTGCTGAGTCCTGCTCTGCTGGCACATTTTGAAAAATCAGCCTTTTTTTTTCCAGGTATCTAAAGTGCAAGCTGAGCTCTTTTGAAAATCCAGTACCATATATTTCATAGATGTATAATTTCACGTTATGCCGGAAGAAAACAGCCGGAAACTCAGAGAAAAGGATGCATATCTTGCCCTTTCACACACAGCCTCATCAGTCCAATAAATCTCAGACCCAGTTCACTATATAGCCTTTTTGTCCCCCATATAGTATCCCCTTAACTCAATATCCTTGAGGACTGTCTCATTGATTTACAAGGGAGAAAGAAGGAAAAAGAATTTCTGGTTTCAATACATTAACTTCTCTCCAGAGGATCCAGTCAGTATTTTTTTTTCTTTATATTAAATCCTCTCAAATGTGAAGCCACCAGCCAAAAGCATGGGGGACTCCTCAGAGAGAGGAAAAACACTACTGTGGGGTCTTTCACCTCAGCAATGATGAACCAGAAGACACAGCTCCTCTACCAGATGCTCACCAAGTATAAAAATCAGCAGCTTTATTCAAAAGCCACCTTGCACATAGCAGACAACAACAAAACTTTCTAAAAACTGCTTAGAGAATGTAGGAGCTTTAATTCTGATGTTTCAAGAATGACTTACAGCACATTGCATGTTCCCATGCATCCAGTGCTGAAGGACTTAAAGCAGTGTAAGGTAGAAGACAATTTTGAACAGAATTTGGTGCACAAACCAGCTCCTTTGGAGACAGGAAAACCCCAACAACTCTTGTGCCAAAGGACTGCAAAAACAACTGCCTTTAAGCTCCAGTCCAAAGCTGCCTGGCTTATTTTACTGCGGCCAAGTGGACATTTCACTGTGCTCAGCTCTGCAGAGGAGATGTGTGCAGACATCCACTGGGGCTTTACAATAAAAATGTGCATTCCCTGCAGGAAAAAGCACAACTGAGACCCACAGGCAAACAACACCTGCAATCAGGATCCACTTCCTTGCCATCGAAGTCACCTGACCCCTGGTGTTTTGTGTGTGACTCTGCAGTGGAGATTTATGCACCCATGTGCTGGGTGGTCTCCCTGCTTCAAAATACTTGGCCTTCCCAGCCATGAGACAACTTTTATTCTTATTTAGGGAGGAAGTTTATCTTTTCACTTCTTTCATTCACGCAGGGCTGGAAATGAAAGCAGGCAGGGAATTTGAATCAGTTGTCAACAAGGTATTAAAAGGCTTACCTAACTTGACCAAAAAGCCAAGGAAATAAAGGGGAAAATTGGTGTCAGTTCATCCCAAGCAGCCTGTAAACAGCTGCATGTATGCTGCTCTCTTACCACTGCCTTGCATGGAAGCCCAGCTGCAACACACCAGTGACAACACAGTATCCCCTTCCCTGAAATAGCCTCCATTTGCAGGGGTTGAATTCACAGTCTCCATGTTATAGGAAATAGATTTAAAACATTTTATTTACAAATATAACTACTTATACACCATGGACCAGTTTGCCAAACGCAGTGTAGACTAGGACTGGATTGCCACATGCCACAGCCCCCTCACCAGCTGGTTTAGTCATACAGGCGAAAGGGCCACAGTCCTGAAAGATCTCTGTGGTCAGCAGCTGTCAGCCTACCATAGGTATTTTGTATTTCATCTCCCATCCAGGGCAGATCTCACCACTGTTCTGCATGTGGTGCAACTACAGTTGCTCATGCAGACAGGGAATTCTCACGGAGTTAGTTGGTTGTCAGCCTGAATGTGGGTAAACAAGAAGAACCTCAAAGACCTTCAGACGATGCTAAAGAGAGAGGAATCTGCTTGCTAGGGACATTTGCATGAAATGAGGACTTAAAAATTTTGTTTTAAGAGTTCATCTGCTCTTACTCATAATTCCCATTCTACTTGATTACAAGATGAGAATTTGTTCAGAAGCAGATACAGCATAGCAATCCCAGGACAGAGATTTCAGGTTAAGCATAAGCATCTAGAGCAGGTGAACTCTTAAATGTTCTTCATCCAGTATAACTTTTAATAAATAATTTATTTTATTTTAGAAGAAAAATATATACAATGCAAAGGAACACAACACATATTATTACAAATATTCAGAGCTCTTCATCTAATAACAAACAACAGGGTGTCCTGAGATTCAGTGAGTACAGATCTTTCAAAAGGTGAAAATATGTAGTCCACGTGGTTAGTAATTGGTCCAGTTAAGGGTCAGACTGAAACTCATGCCATGGATCTACCTATTCTTGAATATTGTCCTGGTAAAGTTATTCTTGCAGTGGATTGAAAGAGCTCCAGACACACTCAAAGTCACTAGGTGGTCCACAAGTTTAAAGAGCAGGTCTGGTCCACTGGAAAGGTTCCTTTCAAGTCTGATATCCAGTTGGAAAGAGAGGGTGGAGGGTGAGGCTCCACTTTTCACAAGATGATTCATCCCTTTGCAAGAATTAGAGCTAAATGTAGAAATCATTCTTTGTTTGAAAACATACATTTTCAGGTCTTTGCTTAAGTAGGCAGAGCTTAGGACTTGGGGTGATATTCATCGATCTTAAGATTTTTAATCTTTTGCTTTCAGAAATTTGTCACTAATACTACTCTTTTCTGGAATAAATGCATCAAGCCTTCAGTTTGAAAGAACTAGAATAGTAATCAGGATTTTGCTTTTCATGCCAGGGGAGAGAGGTATTAAAAAAAAAAAAGCTGAACATTAACTACCTCAACCAGATCCTATAAAGAAGTCACAAGCTGGGCACCCATAATTACCAGTCCTGTCAGTGTTATAGCCAGCTCCTCCTACAGCACTTGTAGTTTTTTTCAGTAGATTTTAGAAATTCTTGATAGTTATCATATGTTTTTTTCCTGCTTTTTCTGGCAGCAGTTATCTACCTAATTTCTACATCTGTCTCCTGTACGGTTTGAATTTGGTGAGCACCATTTTGGGTGGTATTTGAAGGCAATCTCTTAAATTGTAAAGACTGTTTAACTGATGTCATTTGGGGAAAGCAAGCTACTTTCAGATGTTCAGATCATCTTTTCACCTGATCCCCCCAAGTCCCAGCTCTGGAATATACAGAACAGTTGCCTCTATTAAAAATGACAAGGAACATTAAATCTGAATTCTCCTTTGTAGAGTACAAAATGTTTTGTTGCTTCCTTTTACAGGGATTAAAAAAATTAAAACCTCCAGAAAACCAACCCCTTTCAGTATATCAACCTTTAAATAACTTTGCATGTTCTGGTGTTTATTTTCTGGAGAACCCATGAGAGTCTCAGCTGAGCCCACCAGGAGTCATTTTTCTCCCTTACTTTATTTTTTAAGGGTAATCTGCCAGTTTACATCAGCCTGAGTTCGGGACTTCAGTAAATGACACTTTTCCTCTTAAGCTGCTATGATGGTTTCTCTTTTTTCAATGAAAATGTCTCCTTCAAGTTAGAAAAAAAAACAAACCCAAAAGCTCCCCCAGGCTGCCAAGTATCAGCTCCTTTGCACTGCTCTGCTGTTCTAAAAGCTCAGAAGAAAGCTGAAGCTGAGCAGCTCAGACTGGGACCAGTAGGATAACATTTGTGCTATAGAGGACATCCTAGGACCTGGTGAGGGGCCTTCAAGGAGGTTTGCAGCTGGTGAGAGTCAGAGCATCTTTGGCAGCTATAATCTTATTTAAAGACTTTCAAACCAACTTGCCTTTCTGGCTAGAACTGTGCAGGTAATAGGTTTCTGGGTTCATTGACATCTGGTTAATTTTAAAGCTCTTTTTGCATCACCTGGAAATATTTTTGGGAACATTTTTGAAATTTCTGGAATACCAAAGAGTAAACATAGGGAAATAGTTACATTTTAAAGTCAAATTGAGGATCTTATTTCATAATTGGAAATGTTGCACTTTAGGAATTTGGAGGTTAGAAATCCTTTTGTCAGCAGCATGGGATGCTAAGATGGTGTAGGAGGGATAGTAAGATTGTTTAGAGTTACACAAGTAAGTAAACTTCTAATTTGCAGTTGAAAACACCCACTAAGTTGGGTTTCAAGTCGACATATTCTGTGACCCAAACAAAACCATTTTACTTCTGAGCATTTCGTGTAGAGCTCTTGAAACTTCAGAAAATTCCAAAGCTAAAAGCCTGATTTTCTTCTTTGATATGACTAATTAAGCCACACAGCAATAAATCTGTGATGGATTTTAGACAACTGGCATTTTCTACCAGAAGTTGCTTTGGTTATCAGATTGGGGTGGTACTGTGGAGGGGAATGCTCCAATGTTTCAGTTTTCTCATAAATTACTGCTTCATCCTATCCCCTTTCTTCCCACTCAGCCTCTGGCTAGCTATTTCTGCTATGTGGACTATGACCAGTCTGGGATGGATGCCTTCCTTCTTCCTTGGTCAATGTTTGTAGATTATCAGTCTAAAGTGTGGAGTCCTCAAAAGCCCAAGTAACATGACACATATTTCCAGGACAAGGCTGGGAAACAACATGTAGGGGTCTCAGGAGCTCAGAAGACGATCCAGGTAAGAATCCATGCACCCTGATTTCCCAGACAGTTGCTGGAGAGGACTTCATCCCTAGATCAGGGTTTTCATGTGAATGGCTGAAAAAAGACGGGATGAGTCCAGGTGTAAGGGGCAAATATTGATGATGTGAGTGGAGAGAATAAAATCAAAGTGAGAGCACATATGCTCCTCCACTCCCTCCATGTATGTAATGGAAATCTGAACTCCTTGGAGATGTCACCGACCTGAATCACACTCCTGTGCTGTACAGTGAGTTCCACAGCAAGCACTGTAGCAGACAGGAGGAAATGCTGCAGTTCTGTGGGATGGGGGGATTTTTCTTGGTTTATTCTTAATCCTCAGAAGCAATTCTGTATGTGCAGTGACAATCTGCATGTGGTCAGAGGAGACACAACTTCCTCCAAAGCAGCGTACAATTTTTCCCATTTTGCCTTAATGCCTACAGTTAACTAAGCTCGAATTAACCCAGCTAGAAAGGCAGGCTTTGAGTTTGAGACAGCACAGGCAGCAGCAGGAAAGTACTGACATAATTATACAAGCAAGGCAGGCAATCAAAGGTGGAGCTCAGCAAATTAGCAGCCCTGAGACATTTACCAAGTTATTTGAAGGCTGTTGCCTCAACTGCAGTCACACTGGTACAAAAACCATGGGCACATTCAGAAGAATGGATCTCATTCAGGAAGCCTGTCCTCTAGAGCTGTGGGTTGCTGATGCTCTTGCATTGGCATCAGCTCTTATCTCTTTCTGTAAATGCTGAATACCATTTCCACACCTTACTGGGCTTCACTGTTCACTTGGTTATATCCAGATCAGCCGTGAAACCAGCTCATCTGCTGTGAAGCCAGGATGTCTCAGCAGGGACTCTAGCATCTATACATTTACTAGTAAGGTAGAGGGTGGGTTTATTTTCCTGGTAACTCCAAATAATCAACTGCTATTGTGTCAAGAGAATGGCCTAGCAATTACAGAAACTCATGCATTAATTTCTGTGACTAAAGGAGACAAAGTACTGGCTGTCAATGTAGTGATTGTACATTTTAATCTTGCCTGAATTTATCAATAGAGATGCTATAAGGGAAACTGCTGACTGCAAACACAGGATGATGTTTTCCCTTTCTGCAAACTCATCCTTGCATATTTTTGAATGCTTTGTCTTTCTCCTCTCTCCTCCCTTTGCAATTCCATGAAATGAGGTGAAAATGATCTGGACACTACTCACTCTAGGGTCACCTGAGCCACTGCATCCATTGAACTGTATCCATTCTCCATGAAGATTTCTGTGTATCGGCCCATTTTGATGGCTTCCAGCCACTCACTCACGGACCTGTAGGCACCGCTCCCGACTGGACTGTGCTCTACCAACAGATTTGATGCTCTAAAGACAAGCAAAAACAAAGAAGCAAACATAATTAGTATTGAGCTATACACAACATGACTCAAGTTGCTTGCATTTTTTTTTGGTAAAGATGATTCTTTCTTTCAGTGATTGCTGCAGCTTAAATCCTCCTATCAGGCTTGATATGCAATGTATGAAACACAGCACTTCACCTGCAATTTCACCCATTCTTGAATTAGGTCCTGCCATTTCTGATCTGCACCACAAGCAGAAAGAGGAGGAGAGGAGTGGCATCCATCCCAGTTACCTCTTTGTCATATGTAGGCGCCCCCAGTCACTCCTACTTCAAAATCTTCCCTTTGATGACTCCTGCTTTCCTCTCTTCCTCCACTTTTAAAGCTCATAATTAACTTAAGACAGCGCAGAGCCTGGAAGCTGAAACCCAAATTACATTTCCCAGCAGCAGCCATCAATGGCAGGCAGCTGTAAACAGTCCAGGGAGCATTAACAGTCCAGGGGCTGCTCCTGCAAAGTCACGGGGTGGGGGGAAGCGGGGGGGTGGGGGGAAGAAGGGGGTGGGGGGATGGGTTTGGGACGCCGACAGCATCCAACGAGACTGCAGAGAGCAGCAGTGCTCCAGCCACGCTCCGGTCCTGCAAACAGAGGTACACTCCTGCTCCCACACCCTCACTCCAGACCCTGCCACGGCAACTGCTCCCTGCTCAACTACACCATGCACTGAAGAAGCAATAAAAAATAACCCTTCACCTCGACTGGTGCACCGATACAGTACCTGGCACAAGCAGGGTCCACCACCCACTAAAGAGGTGCAGAGAGCAAAGAGGACTTGTCCAAGGTAAGCCAGGAAATAGACCAGACCTGTTCCCTGCTTTGTAGAAAGGGACACACAGCTAACACAAGCCTTACCTAAAGATTATTACCCACAGGTAAAAAAAAAGTAATTTCTGGTCAGCCTCTGATGGTGACTATTACACTTAAAAGACTTTCAACTGGAAGGAGAGCTGGGGTATTATATTATTATAGCACTTCAGGAATCTTCATATATTTTATGAGTACATTAGTATTATTTGTTTATTTAATAGCAATGCTGACGGGTCTAATAAAATGTGAATACTTGCAGTGCCAAGAACATAATGGCTTCCCATAACATTTTATACACATGAGAAATTCCCAACTTCTAAGTAATCATAATGAGAAGTGGATTTTCGTGACTGTCAGGAGGTACCTAGTGATATCATAGCACACGCTGTAGTGTAGAGAGTGACTTTCCTCCCTTATTTGCATTAATGAGAATTTCCATAAAGAACACATCAGATATATTTAAAAAATCCTTTACAGCTGCTCTATATTGAAATTATGATTCATTTGGAATTACTATGGTCTGGACACAACAATCTATGAGAACAGAAACACAGCCCCAAAGCCTGACTATTCAGGTGCTCCATCCATATCAAAAATATCCACAGCAGCTCTTGAAAGGAGATGTTTGGAATTGCTTGGATCCATTCATGGATTAAAACATCAGCAAAGTGCTTAGCAGCTCAAGGAAATGGTTTTCTGCTAATTTTCCTCATCTGGCATAACAGTTTGGTATAAAAGAGTGCTGGAAACACCACGCAACAGGCCTGGAAAATAACTGGTTTGAGTTGGAAATAAAAGAGAAACCTCACATATTTTATGCAGTCATAAACATTTTCCTGCAGGTTTGCTGGCACTGACATTACATCTAATTGCTAATGAGAATAAATTCTTCAGATCATAAATTGTACATGTAAAATAGCCCAAGGAACTAGATGTATCTCATACTTAAAAATTAACAGAAATTTAATGTTCTTATCTTTCAGTGCATGAAATGCCATGCACAGGGACATGCCACCATGGGGATGTCCAGTTGCAGCAGGTGAGATGTGCCATATCCTGCTGTACAAGGTTCACTTGGAAGGCATGGGCACAAATGACTATAAGCTCACAGCAGTGTATCTGTTTTGGCCCATACCACCATTCTAACCTAATCTTATCTCCCTTGTTCCTGTTTAAAGAAAACAACATATCTTATTTTTGTCTCTCCTCTGAGGATAAACTTTTCTGAAGAGCCTTTTCCATTGTTAATCTGGAGAACTCCACTGCCATCAGTGAAACAGCAATAATATACATATACACATACACATACACATACACATACACATACACATACACATACACATACACATACACACATATATATATATATGTATAAAAAACTTCTTTATGACCTTGCAAGGACCTGCGTAATTAACAATACTGATGGCTCAAAAGTAAATGTGTGCTGTACTGGTTTGAAAACAAAACCAGTGAGAGACTCCAAGTTAGAAATACAATTTAATAGGAAAAAATGAGAAAAAATAAAATACATGCAATAGTATAAAAGAAAACTACTGACAGTGTCAGAATACAACCTGACACCCCGTCAGTCAGGGTCAGGGTCAGTCAGGGATTAAATGGTGGCTGCAGTCCTCCTGGAGTAACAGATGCTTCAATTGAAGCAGTGGTCCTGTAGAAGAGTGCAGTTTTCTTCCAAAGGTCCAGTGATAATGTGCAAAGGTATGATTTTCCTCTGGGATCCAGTGGAAAGGGCTGCTCTGATGTTCCAAATCTCAGTTTTTATCTAGGAAGGAAAGGCTTGGCTCCTCCCCCTGGCTGGAGCATCTCCCAATGGGATGATGCAATTTTATCAATCATGCAGTGGGACTCAATGGCCCATTAACAGAAAATATCCTCCTGGAGGAAGGATGGGTTGTGGAAGAGATAAAGAACACTGCCCCACCTCGTTTCAACAGATGGTGATAGAATACATACTTTTGGGCACATCTTTACATTGTAACCCAGGACATGTGCTTACATAGTAAAAGTATGAAAAAAGTGAAAACAGAAAAAGCCTCTCCAAGACTATTTAGCTCTTTCTCCCTGCATAATAAAGTGAAGATTTATTTCTTGATTGTGTTTACCTTACTTGTAGCTGTGTAGCTATTCAGATTCATGTTTAAATACAAACTGGCTGCTCTATTCACTTAATGTGGTCTCAGCAAAGGGGTTGTGAACAGCACTTTGGGAACCAGAGACTTCCTCCTGCAATTACCAAGACTCTCATGACTTGCAGTGGTGGCTTGCATGCCGGGGAATAGTTGGGGAAGGATGTACCTGGACATCTATGAGCTTTGCATATCCTAAGAGTTTCCCCAGGAGACACTCTTTGTTTGTATTACAAAGATAAAGTCAAGAGGCAGATAACTGGAGCAGTATTTACTATCTACCTCATGCACTCAAGTCTCGCCTTCTCTAGCAGGTAGTTTTGTCACAAAGTACTGCTGAAACTCCTGTTTGTGAAAGACAGACCACGTTAATTTTTTGTGGCAGCACTGCATTAGAGTGAATGAATTGCTCACTTGGCTGACAACTGCAACAGAAAAAGTTGATATGAGACAACTCCCCTGGACATTACAAAATTGAAAGAACATTCACCCAAGAACACGTGCAGGCTAAATAATCAGAGGGAATCTAACCTGGGTATTTAGACAAGGAACTTGCTCTGAGAAATGGTTCTGGGCTGAGTCTGTACCTGCTTGATGCATTAACCAATGTCTTCAGGCTGCTCGGGTTACGGATGAGCTTGTCCAACATGCTGACAATTTCGTCAAACTTGGGCCTGCTGTTGCGGTCTTTCTGCCAACAGTCCAGCATTAGTTGGTAGAGAGCAGCAGGGCAGTCCATGGGACTTGGCAGGCGATAGCCTTCCTCCACAGCTTTAATCACCTACAGGACAAAAAACACAAGGCTTTTCTTCCCCTCATCTTTTTCTCAAATGCAAATTGACTTTAACATAGAACTTTGGGATCAGCAATATGCTCACAAAAAATCCTGCCAGCTCCAACTCTGCACACAAGAGGCAAACTCAGTAAGCCTCTCTATCTTTTATATTTTCTGTGGGATGGGTTGACTAACTCTACTTTTAATCATTGCAAAATTAATCTAGAAAGCCAATGCACTGCTGCAACCAGGGGCCCAGATTGCCTGGTTGCATTTGTTCAAAGCTCAGTTGTGGTCTCTATGTTATATACCAGGAAACTCTTGCAGCCTATGCTAAATCCATGAAAAAGAGCCTTCAGGGCTTTCTGGCATCTTCTTAGAGTGCAGTGATTTTGTTTATTCAGATGTTGGGCTCTTTTTAAATGAAAAGGCATGTGCTAGACCACAAATTTGTATTACAGTAATAAAAGTCTGACTGTATTTCAAAAGAGACTTTGAATGCTAATTGATGGATGGATTCAAGGCAGAGGCAGAACAACCATCTCATATATCATTCAATACTGTCTGGGTCTAGCAGTTTCTTAGTGTGGCCACATTTCTGCCAGGAATTTACAATGTCAGCCCAAGAGTATGTAAATTAAAACCAAGGGAGCTGTTGCACTGATTTCAAATACAAACCATCTATGATTTTATATTTAAAACAAGTGGTATGCATATGTGTTGCCTGCCCTCTCAAAAGGCAGAAATTAATAAATGAGGGCAGAATTGAAGAATGCAACTTGTTTTCCCCAGTTTGGGGCAATTTTGTGGCAGGGCTTTGAGCCCAACAGTTCCCATTTTGAACTATTACAATTTTCAGGAGAATGTAGCTCATGTTTCAAGCCACAGGGTTCTGTATCTGTGCCAAGGGAGTCATGGCAGCCCATCTTCATGCCCTCCACTCCTAACATTCCTTGATGAAAAGGAGCTGGAAGCAGGTATTTGCTATGTCCACATAAAAACCACATGTGCTTCACTGTCCGTTCCCAAGACTACCTCAAATGCTATTCATTCTAGGCACTGTCTCACAATTTGAAAACATCCTGTGTTGAAAAAGAAGCCTCTGTGGTTAGCCTGGAAGTTGTTATCTTGGTCTTTAGTTACTAAATAAGTAGTACTGGATGAGCTGTGTCAGGCTAGCACTGCATTTCAGAAGGCTTCAAAATTCAGGAGTGCATGGATTGTTTTTAAACTGTCCTTCATCATAAAGCTTTTTGTTAAGTGTAAGAGTAGCAGGAATGAGCCAGGCCAACTGAGCAGCAGTAGTGGGAACCTCAAACTCTCTGAGGATGTGCATAGCAGAGAAGCAGTTAGGTGAGGCTTTACGATCTCCAAGGGTAAAAAGCACATCAGATCTGGGCCGCAACATGTGCAGTCCCTTTGTGCCCATCTGAGATTCAATCTGTCAGTGGAGCAGTTGCACCACTCTCCACCCAATCTGCACTTGCAAAGCAATCTCTTCTATTGCCTGGTTGCTGCTCCCAGGTCCATCACACTGTGCTATTTATACTTTCTGTTCTTCACACCATGCTTTTCAGCTAGTTCCTGATTCCAAATTTGCAGTTGTCCTATAAAGAAAAAGCTTCAGTGTGGCACAGCCATGAGAATGTTATTTGCTGTGTCCACGTCTGTATTTATAACAAAAATGGGTCATCCTCCAACTGTAGCAGAAAGAAAATAGTAGCAAGACAGAGAGCAGACCATCTGGCACCAGATCAGAATATCTGAACTATATCTGCAATGGGGTTATGTATGCTGGATATTCCTGGCAGTAACATCACAATCAATAGCATTAACTCAATTTACAGGACGTCATTTGTCCTGGTGATACAATGTAAATGGTATCAAAATACTGCAAGAAGCTAGGATGCTGAAATACACTCTTGCATTTGAAGGTGCCTTCAGGCATCTAGCAGTAAGAGGAGCAAAAAAACCGAAACAACAAAGACTGAGTCACTTGCAGCCACCACAGTGATTAAAAATAAGAAAATGGGACATTTGCTGCTCCATTCATTGGTGTGTGCTGCTTTGTAAGACTTGAAAATTCAGAATTTGCACCTAAGGAGGCATTTTTGTCTCTCTTCCTCTTCTGGACAAGCACTATTCAGTTACGGATCGGGGTGACTGAACTGGATGTTTAGGATAGGACAATTTGGGATAGTCTATTCCAGTAAACCAAAGCAACACGCAGTAGAGTTTTCATATATTCACCAGTCTGAACATTAAAAGTCAACTACCGCTATTATTTACCTTATCAACCTGTGCAACACAGGTCACAATATTCCTCTCAATAATTCTGCATCAAAGCCTTATCTTGTGGTCAATCCAAAGCATATTTTTAGAAGGCCATCCAGAAACCAGCATGACTTTAAAACGTGATTTATAGCCTTAAAACATTTCCTGCCCTATTGCACTTCACCTCCTTTAAAGCAAAGCATCTGTAACATGGTGAGAATAATTTTGCTCATCATCAGCTGTGCTTGAAAATGATGTACTTTAAATACAAGTCATTCAACAAGAAACTTGTGCAAGAGAGTCCAAAATTTATGTGACCCTTTTCCTCTGCACAAAAGCCAATGCTGTATCTAACACCACTGACTCTTCTGTCAACACAAGTAGAGGAGGAAAGGAGGCCTTCAGTAGCTGAAGGAGGAAGAATTGCATGAGAAATGTGCCACAGCACTGAATTAAGTTCCTATGCCACCACCATCCAGGTATTTACCACCTGCATAAAGGGCAGAGGCAAGTAACACAGAGGTTATACAAGCAAAGGTTAAGCAGGAACTGATGCTCATAAACATCTCACTAATCCTTTGTTTTCTGCTTTCACTCCAGGTAAGTCTGTGCCCCATAGGACACGGAGGCATTTGGGCTTTTTGGAACAGTTCTGTAAAGTGTAGACGCTCATAGTGTTATGATTCAGACAAGGGACTCCCTATGTCACAGAAGATCAGTACACTGGCACCAGCCTCAGTCTTAGCCTGGCATTTACTGAACAACATCTGTGCTATGCCAATGCATCAGCATTAAAAATAGTTACAGTGTGAATGAAAAAGCTTGGCTCTCAACTGCTGCATTCTCTGCACAGACTATGGAAGCAAGTCCCTGTATTTGATTAAGATAAATCCCTGTGTAGGTATATGCTGCTTTACTGAACTTCCTGCAAATGTGACAGCCTCAGCAATACAGGAGCAGTGGGGCATTCATGCCAAACAGTGTGTTCAGGTCCCTGGTAAGAAACATGGCATGACCATCTCAAAGGTACCACTTGTTTCCACACTTGGACTCAAAGTGAGATGAGACAGCTGCTCAGCATGACAAGTAGTAACATCTACTAATGGTAAAGCCTTGCTAACAAAACTCAGGAAGAGCAGAATGTTCAGCCAGAGTCCTTGCCTCCAGTAAAAAAGCAGAAAAGTAGTTGGAATAGGAATGCTGCTCAAAAAATCAGAAAGGATGAATCACCAAGTATTGTGACCAGAGGAAACCCATCCAGCAGTAGGATTTCCACAGGTAGCAAGGCTGTCCCACATACCCCATGGTGAATCTGACCTCGTGACTAGCTGGCATTCTCAGAGACCTTTACAAATCATAGTTCTCAGAGATGTGAAGAAGAAGGAGGGATCTAGAAAATCTGGCTACCCCAGGCTTAATTTTTTTTAGCCTTAGACAAGGACATATGTTGATGGTGAGATCAGGGTAGAATGCAGCCCTGCAGTAGGATCAAGATATCCTTACCCAGGCTGGGATTGGAGCTGCAGCCAGGTGGGAGAGAATACTCCCAGGCATCTCACTGTTGGGTGAGGGTGGCCTCAAGATCAGAGGCTTTAGAGGGCACAGAAACCCAGGAGCAAGGGGACACAACTCGAAGAGTACTGTACAATTGAATGAGAACTTGTGTAAGCAGAGACTTACAAGATGGTCACAACCAGAGCAAAACTATTCTCTTGAGATCAGCAATACAAGAACAACCAAGATGCAGCTCTGTGGACTGCTATCACTAGATCAAATCATTCAGCTTTTCTGCTAGGAAAAAAAGCCCTGACCATGACTCTCTTGAGTTTCTGCTTTATGTGGCAGCAGGGGTTTGAATACACAACTGAAATACTGCAGTTTATCTGCATCTATCCCCTGGCAGGCCTTTGTCATTAAGCAGAGGATGAACAGGCTCCAGCTCTAACATCATTAATGAAGCTCCAGAGGTCTGCTGGGGGAAGCAGGCTTGCCTCCGTGCAGACACATTTCCCCCTGAATACAGCCCGTTCTGGCTTGCTGCGAAAAAAAGAACATCAAATGGGAGGATCATTTCTGTCTGGCATGGGGGAGCAAAACCATTTTTACAGCAGCACTCCTCCTCTTGTCCCCATTGTGCCTCTCTGATAGCAGAATGAATGCTGAGCCCTCAAAGTCCCATCACACAGCTGCTCCAGCACGTGCTTACATCTTGGTTTGTCATTTCCCAGTAAGGTCTCTCGCCATAGGACATCACCTCCCACATTACAATGCCGTAGCTCCAGACATCGCTGGCAGATGTGAATTTGCGGAAGGCAATTGCTTCAGGCGCTGTCCATCGAATGGGGATCTTCCCTCCCTAAATGGAAAAGAAATTGAGAAAAATCCCAAAAAATGGATTGCAGAGGAGGGCAGAGAGCATGCAAAAGAAGTTGAAACAGCTCTTCTCAGAGCACCAAGGGATGTTATTTTCTCTCTGGAAAGAGACATCGAATTTTAAAGTAAATCTATTTGACAGCATGGGGCCCCTTTCCACATTATCTCAGCCCATAAGCATTTGTAGACTGCCAACTAATTGGCTGTCCTGAAGGTCTGTGGTTTGAATGTTGTTTGAATGCTGGGACATGTATAGGATCAACATCTCAATTATGTTGCACGGGTTGGTTAGGGAATACAGTTCCTCCATTTCTGAGAGCAAGCAGGGGCAGAACAGACAGGTCTGAAGCTGAGGAAGACTTTGATCTAACGAGGGCTTCATGCAAATTGTTGTGGAAGTAATTCCCTTTTTTTTTTTTTTTTTTTTTTTTAATGCAATCTTGGTTCTGCAGAGAGATCTGTGTAGCAGGCATGGAAATCTGTGTGCACAAAGACCAGGCTGCTTGGCCTCTGCTGTGGGACTGAAAATGATGCCACAGCTGTCAAATGTGCTTTGTTGTTTCATTTTCTCCTTTCTATCATTTAAAAATCAAACTTCAGATCAGCTCTGAAAAGGGAAAGGGGAGAGAAAGGAGAGTCTGGATTAAGGAATACTTTTCTCATTGGGTTTAAAGAGTTGTCTCTCTTGATTTATATAAAAAAATATTTTGCTGTGAAGTCCCTTCCTCTCTATGTTGAGCTAAATATTGGAAAGTCTCCCTGAATGCCCCCTAACAGTGTTTGTTATTGGAAAAAGACAGGATTTGGAACACATTTTCAAAGCAACTTTTGAAAAGTCTCTTCTTTCCATAATTACTTATTCACAAGCTCAGCAGCACACGCCTTAAGTGAAGGGCCAGATTCTCAGCAGTGCCAATTAGCATACGGCAAAACATGGGAGCTGCAGCAGGGCTGGCCAAGCCTTCCTTGCAGGGAAGAGCCAGTCCAGCTGTGTACTGAGTCCCATCACAGGGCCATAACTGACAAAAGCTGAAAGGCCCTTTCAAGATGTCCACAGGAACAGGGAACATGACTCAAGACAGCTCCCACCACTCACAAAACAATATCCTTGGAAAAACACATAAGACATGCCCAAGGTGTGCCAATCACTGCCATTAATACTGCAGGCTGTCTCCAAGTCTGTGCTGTTGAAGGTGGGTCCTGTCTAGCCCCTCTCTTCAATGCCAGTGCCATGTGGGCAGAGCAGGGACAGAGCACTGAGGTTGGAAAAGCTCTTTCTTGGGTTGGGAGAAGTTACTCTCAACTGGATAATGCTGAGGGCAATGTGCATTATTTGCAGTGGGCATTCATTACACACTTACTAATGTTTTAAAAGGGTCAAATTGTTCAGAAGACCATGGCTTACACCACAGGATGGGTGCCTGGCAAAGCAACTGCTCTTTCTTCCCTTTGGTATTCACCAAAGAGGACAGAGTAGAGCTTGGAAGCATGGCAACTATTTGATTCGTGTACCCAACTTAAAACTTCAGAGCTATTAGTTAGCCTCTGTGTTATTTGGCCATCCCCACTATAAAGGCATTTGCAAAATTAATCTGGTGATGATTAACTGTTATCACTTGATCTAACCCTCCTGCACAGTTTAGAGGCTCTGAGATTGTAGAAACTCTTTGCTAGAGAGCCTGCACACCAAAATGTGGCAAGAAATATGTTTCTCTTAAGCTCAATCAGTTTGGTATCCCCATAACTCACCCTGGTTGTGTATGCTGCTTCAGGGTCATCTTCTAGGACTCTGGAGAGGCCAAAGTCTGACACTTTGCAGACCAAGTTGCTGTTGATCAGGATATTCCTGGCGGCCAGATCTCTGTGCACATAACCCATGTCAGACAGGTACTTCATTCCTGATGCGATGCCTCGTAGCATCCCAACCAGCTGGATGACGGTGAACTGCCCATCGTTCTTCTGCAAAAGGAAGGAGACATTTGACGAGTTGAGAGCCTCTGCACCCTCAGCATTAGTGTGTGCATGAATAAAAACGCAAAGGCGAGTCTCCAAAGAAGGAAACCAGGAAAATAAATAATTCATTATTTTCATGCTCTGACCACAAATCTTTTCTAAGTTTCACTGTTTAGATTAGGATCTCTAGAGACAAAGCTAAGGAAATGTCGTTCTTTAAATTTGAGATCAAGGAGTGAGCTGCATCTAGTGGTAACTGATGAAGAGACTGCGCCGGGGAGTGAACATGTGTATAAGGGCACCAGGCTGGGCTGTTTCTCAGTAAGGCAACTGAATGGCATCAAGTTGGATGGAAATCCTACCTTTAGGGGTTCATGAACACTTGAGGGGGTAAGGGCTTCTCCCCATGTTGCCACATTGCATTTCTAACCATTTCCCCACTCTCCTTTCTCTAGCTCTTAGATTTCATAGAAAAGCTCTGACAAGTCTGGGATTTGTTATGCTGCAGTATGGATCTGCTCTTGAACAACACCACATTTTGCAGGATAAGTTAATACTTCCACTGCCTTCTAAAATAATTGTAATATCCTCCAATTTATTCTTACCTGTTTCTATCATTGCATGCACCAGATCCTTCATGACGCTGTGTAAATGCAGATCGAAGAGACAACTGAGCTACTCCTGCCTCCAGACAGCACCAACACTCAGAAATAATTTTCACTGACATTAACCATCTACAAAGAATCCAAACCTTAACCAAGTCCCCAGGTCCCCCTGGAAAAAAGATCTAAGTAATACCTTTAAAAATGTATCCAGAGAGCCATTCTCCATGTATTCAGTCACTATCATTACTGGTTTGCCTGGAAAAGAAAAAGTGCATGAGTTTGTTAGGAATTTATCTAAAAAACATGAGCAATAAAAAAGTCTTTTAATACTGTCTCTGCATCTGGATATACAGCCATGCAACAGCAAATATAAACCAAGACGTCTGTCCCAGCAAGATGACAAAAGTTGTTCCCAGAATATATAGAGAAATTGAGGATATATATATTAGGTTATAAATTATATAGGAAATTGAGGAGGAGGGGATGAAAAAGTAATACCACATTGTGGATGGGGTACCAAGCCCTAGACTATTTAGATGAAGATTAAGAAGGATGTAGCAAGCTGAACCCAGGCAGCCTTGTTCTTGTCTCTACCAACAAGCTGAAAGCTTGCAGAGGCAAACTGCACACAGCAAAGTCTTTGGACCCTTCCCTCAAGCTTCAACACCCTGAAGTAAAAACAGGAACCCAAAAAGAGCAACAAGGATGATTTGAAGCTTGGGCTTGGTAGCCACCAAAACCAAGACTAGGCAAGGACTGGACTTCATTCCATAAACACATCTGGACATAAGAAAAGGAATATTACACTGCAGAACAAAAGCTCATTAATTGTGGAATGAGTGCAGGCTAAATCAAAGTAAAAGTTCTTAACCAAAGACCTGGTCTCCTAATGTTGACAGAAATAACAAAGTTTTTCCAAATCTGTTTGATTAATTTTCATGCCCGAGTCATTTTAATGATAATTATATCTAGTTTTTGCTCAGTTTTTATCTAATTTCTCACTAGCTTGCCACAATGGTGTAGCAATAATTAATGTGGTGTGCCCCAGCCCTTGTAAATTCAATGAAATCTTACACGAACATGTAAATTATTTTTTATTTTAATCAATATTCATTTGTTAGCATGAAGCACAGACAAAAGAGGAGCTGTCAGTTATTTGTAAAGTGCATTATAAATGTCTTTTATAGAAATGACAATGAGAGCTGCCATGTGTCATAACATGCACATAAAGGTAAATACTAAAAATCAGCACGTCCTACCTTTAGATAGATCTCAATTTTCCCATTTTCGATTACATTAACTATTTTGCCTAATTTACTGCTTAATTATGTACATAGCAAAGGTAATTGTGAACTTGTCAATCAAATACTCATTGCTGTGTAAACACTACCTTTGCAGCATGAAGAACCTGTGCTGCTTCAATTCTTTTAAGTTACTCTCACAGCTGTTGCCCAAGCTTGAAACTTGCCCAAAATATTACTTTTGATATGAGAAATGCACCTTGGGACCATGAAAAATATTGCTGAATACCAAATGAAACAATGGGCCCCATCTTTAAGAATGACAGCCATCTGTCTATGCACAACACAGGCTGAATGTAGGAGGATGGAGAGATCTCTGGACCCCCTGCCATTGGATGGCAAACATGCCTGTGGCTTTGCAGGGAAGAAAAATCCAGCGATATCTCAAATGTTAAAATTTTTGTTTGATTTTAAAAGCTAAACACCCAACTGTAGCATGGGGTCCCTTATCTCTGACACTTCAAGGCAGTGCTGCAGTGAGAATGATATGTTGTGCCACCGCCCTGGGGAACCTCCTCCACACTCCTGCCTTTGGATGCTGTCAGAGAAAAAAAAGTTAAGATTTCTGGCTCTTATGTTTCATTATCTGACTGCTACAGGTTGGCAGCAATCATGGAACAAATGAACCCCATATCCAAGAGCATGGAAATAAAGACAAAATAGGTAACTTTCAACAAATTAAATTAAAAGTAAACATCAGCCCTTTTAAAGTGCTGGGTTGATTCTCTGTGTCATCAGGGCTTCCTCCTGCTGGCATTACATGGTCATAAAATATATGTGGATGACACTCATGTCAGTGGTGTGCACCTTAATGCAGTGTGCACACCATCAGTACAATGAAATGGGATGCAAATGAAAACTGTCACTACCTTTGTAAAGCTGAGGGTTTGTCTGCACGGGGCCAATGATTAGTCAGAATTAACCAATGTGTGCATTTGAACTATATTAGTTAAATACAATGATATTCTCATTCAGAATTAAAAATGGCCTAATTCAATTAAACTTAATTTACTTCCAAATTAAATAATGATGCAGTAAAGACATTTTACCTGAAAGATCTGACTCTATGAAAGGCCAATGACTGAGATACTGAAGAGTAAAAGAAGTTAAATACTTTGAGAGAGCAGAATACTTTGCAATTCATAAAGGTTGCTTTCGTCCATGCAAAAGAAAAACCTATGAAGATGCTACAGATGTCTGCTGGAAAAAAAATTTGAGTGCAGTAAACAAACATATACTGAGCTAATGAGAAGCTCTGGGTGTGTACATCCCCCTGAATCCAAACTCCAGTTGCTCCAAGTCCAATTAAGAAGCAGAGCTCCCTGTGTTCCCACAGCCTTTGGAGCAGACACCCACTTTATATAAAAGGCAGCTTGCTAAGGAGGCACATTTTCACTACAAGTGAAATGGGATTTCCAACCATCCCCATAGGCCCCAGCAACCAGAAAGACTCAGGCCCATGCCAGCAGCAGCTTTCATGGATGTATAATCATCACTCGCTCCCTGCTCAATATTCCACATCCCTGCAGGGCTAGAAATTGGAGCTCTTACACAGGGTGTCCCCAAGAGACTTTGATATTTATTAAAATTTTGGGAGAAATCCATTTTGGTTATCTTTTTCTTAAAAGTTTTAGGAAATGCAATTTCAAGGAAAAATGTGAAAAAATCTGTTGGTTACAAAACAGCATTGATTTTGTGGATATTACAAGGACAAACAGCTGAAGCCTCTGTACTTTTTCTATTGCAGCTTTGAAAAAGAACTAATGTTGGATGCACTTCCTCTGAGGAATGTACTGAGTACTGAGAGCAGCACATGGCCCCAAATGCCATCATCTGAACAGTAGCAGCTAAGCAAGCTCTGACATTGCCAAACATGAAGGCAGGAGGGGAGACAATAATTCACACCTGTGAGGCTGATGCTTCTTCACTTAAAATACATCTTAAAATAAAGAAGTAGCTATTTTCAACAAAGTAATCCTTGATGCAAATAATGTAGATCCTCCAAGGCTCTAAAATGGATGAGTAACAAAATCTCTACATATTCTCCACGGCCTCAGCACAGCATCACCAGTCTTGTCCTGGGCACATTTGGATGTGCTGTCTCTTTCCCCACCCTTATCTTTAGTGCATATTGTAATTTGGAGAACTGAGCTGAAAAAGTTATAGAGGGCTGTTTTGCTAACTGAGCAGTCAGACATCAGTAACTCTCATGCTGGGATGCCTTCAATCCTTCCCATACACCAGCACCATGGACAATTATTATCAGGGGCATCTCTAGCAGATCCCAGAGGGAGCTTACTTTAATTGTGGTTTTATATATTCCTGTCATCTTCACCTACAGTCCTGCTCTTTTTCCTTGCTTCTGGAAAGCAAAACTTTTTTCTGGAAATTATGAAAAGTGTATTCAGAACAGGCATCACCTAAATCTTCCTCTCTTAATCAACTCTCCCATCAGACAGAATTCACAGAGAGCAGTCCACAGCATGTTGTACCTACTTTTTGTGACGACACCTTCCAGGTGGATGATGTTGGGGTGGTCAAACTGCCCCATGATGCTTGCTTCTCCCAAGAAATCTCTTCTCTGTTTCTCTGTGTACCCCACCTTCAGGGTTTTGATAGCCACTGGAAACTCCCGCTTTCCCTGCAGCTTCAGCCGCCCACTGCAGACTTCTCCAAATTCACCTTCAGAAGAAAATGCAGAAGAATGGGATCACACCACATCAAGGGAACACATGATGTGCCCCTGTCTACATGATGCAGCACAGCCTTGGCTAATGAAAAGCACAAAGGGCTGCCCTGCGTCCATGGATATGAACTGCTGAACATGGCAGTGATGACTACCTCAAACAGCCACTGTACCACAAGCCAAGTAATTTATAAGCACAAGAAAACTTTGAGTAAAAATGTAATTTTCTTATATTTAAAGAGCTATGCTTTATATTCCACTGGGCTTTTTTATAATTTGTATCATTTTTGTCTACTACATGAAAGAGTCCTCTCATATCCTATATCACTGTTCTGTGTGGATAGCTGTAAAACTCAAACCACTTGCTTCTTAACCTTCATTTGGTAAGTTACATAGATGGAAAGCTGTCAGCCTTTCACAGTAACTTATCTTTTTATAGACTATAAACTCTTTACAATTTTATGACTACCTTTCCCAAAAAGTAACCTAAATGGATTTTTTTCTGATGAACACTAAATTACGTCCAAACCCACAATTTCAGAGGATAGAAAATACTCCTAAGGTTGGATGCAAGTTGAAACAAACAACTTTATTGGAAACAAAATGGGAGTTTCTTCTTTTAACCAAAGAAGTTTAAAGCTTTGGACTTTCGCTTGTGCTTTTTTAATGTCTCAGGTGACCTCTTATTTTTAATTTTTGCTTCAAGACTGACCTTAATGTTGGGGGATAAAAAGGTTCAAATGCTAAAAAGAATGTGAAATTTACGTGACTCCTTTCCCTTAGCATCCATTGAAACAGCTCAGCTGACCATTTGGGACCATTTTCTGACATAGTTCAGCTCCTGAATTTCAAAACTGCAGACAATGACAGGTCTGTCTCAAACTTCAGCTGGGACATGCTCACTTTCACTTGCAGGGTATCTAAGAGTTCAAATATTTATCGGCCCTTCCCAGATCTCTCATGTTAAGAAAGCCAACCCTTCACATTGCTAAGGGTCATGGAATGTATTTCCATACCAGCTCCAATAACTCTTTCAATGGTTATGCATGAAGCTTCAATTTCCTTAGCAAACTCATGAACAGCTTGATTAGGGTCCTCGTAGGTGTGGGGGTCAACATAGGTCCTCACTCCAGGCAGCTTAACTGCAAACATAAATTAAGCACATTTAATGGCACAAGACATCACAGAAAATGGGCATTACACACGTCTGTCCCTTGCACTCTGCTCTGCTGGAAATTTATTTCTATGATGAAAATGAGTATCATTCTTGAAAAAAGACAGTTAGTTTATATGTGACATACGTGCAACTTCAGCATATTTAGAAAAGCACAATAGTGCTCAGCTGGAATGATGTGCAGCTAAAAATCTCTTTTGGTGCTGTGCAATGGGTTGGTGTGGTATCTGGTAGCAAAGAAGCCCTTTCTGGAACTAGAGAGGGCACACCAGGAGGAAAAGTACAAATAGCAAAATGTTACAGTAGGAACTTGCATAGCAAGCTGGATGGACAGCGGTTGATGGAGAGCTGAAATAAATTATGCCCTACCAGTCACACATCAGCTAATCAATCACCCACATTATTTCAGACAGAGTTACTGAGATGTAAAGGAACTACATATTTGCAGTTGTTCAAAGCTTGTGGGTTCTATCAGTATAAATATAATCAATAGCAGGCTTTTTCTCCGGGACTTGAGAGGGAGAAGTATTTTCATTATCCATATTATAAGTTTGTTTTGACAATCATTAAGGCTACTCACATGAAGAATTGTTCATCAGTCTAATGAGACAGCTACATTACACTGTGGCTCTTAATTGATTTGCGTCCTGCTGCCTTCATTACATAGCACTAATGGAAATTTGACTTTCACTCATGATGTGTTTGCCTTTTCCATCCCAAAAGGCAGCTCACCGTTACCTATCTCCAGATTCCACAGCTCTTGATGAAGGAAGAACTGATAGCAACCATGAGATTTACTTTCTGGCATGACCGCATAGGGGTTTTCTATACAAGGGCATTAACACAGCATTTCTGAAAGCTCCCTAGGTGCAGGAAATAGGTGTTCCTCACACCTCTGCAGAGACATCCAAGTTGAAGAACTGCAGTGGGCTTGGCCCTCACAGCTGGATGGGGTGAAGCAAAGGTTTCAAACAGGTATTTTGGACTGATGCATCCAGACCACGAAAATGTTGAGTATGTTATGTGCTGAGTAGAAAAAATTAATAATATCTTGGTTCACACAGCAAAGATGGAGGAACAAATCAAAAATGGCTCACTAAAAAGATCTGGTGCAAACATACAGGTGTGAATAGCTCAGCACATATAAGGACTGTTCAAATCTTCAGTTCTCTGTGGGGATTGCAGCAGGTGCAGGTGGGGACTGCTTGCACAAAAAACCCTTTTGTGAATTACCAGCAAAAACAGATTTTTCTTTTTTTTTTCAGGAAACTACCTCTCAGTTGAATTTCTCATTACCACAGAAAGCCAAAAACTCATATATGTTTGCTCTTTACTCACTGTGGCCATTATGAAAATGCATCTTTTCTTCTTCTGGATCTTGCTTAGCCTTGCTATAACCACATCGCCTGGAGAAATAAAACAAAAACCACACACAACAGAAGGGTATTTTTGTCTCTGGTATGGCAGAACTCCTTTCTTTACTTTGAATCACACAATGCACAAAAAACCAGAGCAGTGACAAACCCAACCTCTCTAGCAGCTCTATTGCTGCTGTCCCAGTTTTAGCTCATCAAACTAGCTGCAATTTCCCTAATGGGATTTAGGGCTCAAGGCCCATAGATTTTCAATTGGACTTTTGTTTCCAAATCCCACAGATGCTTCTGAGCAACTCCACTCTACCTGACATTTAATGCAGCTATTATTAAGAAGAAAAGAAAGCAGGAACAGGAAGGACAATGAAAGGGAAATGGGATGAAACATTAGAATTAGGTGATAGTTTTGCATTAGCATTAACTGTCTGCTTTGGTGGCATTTCTGAGATCTGCTTCACTTAGACAACCACATGGAAGCCCCAGGATAACTGCATAGGCAAGAAAAATTGCCACACACACACACACACACACTCACACACTTACACACACGCATATTTAAAAATATGGGATGAGGTATGTAGGATGCCTCTCTTTCCAAGGACCTGATAACGTAACTGGATAAGGGAAGTGGAACATCCTTATAGCAAACTGCATGAACATGAGACTGAAGGACACTGCTTTGTTGAATGAAAAACCTGGAACAGACACCTGCAAGCCAGCCAGCATGCAGTGGAATCACTAGCTGGCACACCTCAAAGAAAGCCCCAGGCCACTAAGAAGCCACTTAAAGCTGAGAAACCTCTCTTCCATTGCTTCCATGATTTTTGAGCTAGGGGCATGTGAGCACTCCAGCACCACTCACAGCAAGGAGAAGCATATGATTAGCAGGAACAAAACTGCAATTAGGAGGAGGCAGTAACAGGCATCTGCATGAAACATGCCCTCAGCATGAAGTCCTATTACAGGGAACTGCTGTCTGCCCAGATGCAAAGGGCCAAGCAGCCTTTCGGCTGTAGGATTCTGGCACTGGGTTTGTGATATGATCACAGTTACAGACAAAAGCCCAGACACGATGAGACCCCACCATTGAGCTGGACTCAGCAGAGCTGGACGCTGAACAGTTGAGGAGAGGAAAAGCAACATGAGCCTCTGGGGCTATTCCGGGGAAGAGGAAGCTTACCTTGGGGACAAAGGGACACTGGTGCTATAGGGAGAGGAAGGAAAAAGAGATTGCAAAGGTTGTGCAAGTGCAGGGGAATGGATCAAAAAGACAAGGGAAGGCTGGTAGGCAGTCTGGGGATGCAGGCAGGGAGATAATCAGGTTGCACTTGATAAACAGCCAGGCTATACATGCAGGGCATGATCTCAGTAGCAGCAACCAAGCTGAGACTGTAACACTTGGAATGCAAACCCCACAAAACCAGCACTGATGTGCCCAGAGTCGTAGCTCAGCATGTCGGTGCTCATTGCCTTGCTCTAAAAGCAGCAGTGCCATTTCCTGAGAGGGAGTCTGGCATTATTAACTCAAAACCTAACCACTAGGTGTACATGGAGACCCTGGGAGTAAGGGTCATTTCAAAGCACATTCTGGTGTTCACAAACCCTTGGTGAGAATGGATTCTTCTTCTCCATCATATGACCTCCCCTTTAACTAAATAAAGAGATGAGTCTCAGTATCAAGTCTCACTTCTGGCAACCCCAATTTTTTCTGCTGCAAGTTGCCAAAGTTACATCAGTTTTCTGCAGAAGTAATTTTTCTGGATGGAGCCATATGATTCAATTTGCCTTTTAAAAATACACAAATATGTCAATTCATCCTTCCACCAAATGCATGTATCTGATACTTCTTCTGCTTTGCCTTTTGGAGCAAATGCCCTTATCTCTTCTTCAGGTTTGGAGCACTTTGCCTGTAAAAATGCTTTGCTATCATCATCCTTTCTATGACCTGCATCACCCGATTCCTTGACCATAAATATGGAGGAGACAGAAAGACGCCATCTCCTGCATACAGTGATCCAAGCACACCTTGATGCACAATGGTCCATGTTTTACTGCCCATGGATACACTCCAAGGGCCAATGCAAACCAGTTGGCTGCAGCTGCCCCCTTCTCTCAGCTAGGTAACACATACAGCAGCACATCACATTAGCACATGAAATTAGGCTATGGGATGCCTGAAGCATCATTAAAACAAGCCTTGACAAGACATGTCAAAGTGAAATGGCAGCTAGTGGACTGAGACTGTCAAGCAACAGTTGGGTGTCACTAATAAAGCTTGCTGCAAAACCTGCCATCACTTGTGCCCTTCACACACTTTCTCAAACTACCTAGAGTCCACACTGACTGGGGCCAAACAGTGATTCTTCCATTCTTGACCCTCAGATGCTTTAAATAACACACACAAGCATTTCTTCTCCTTTCTTCCCCAACTAAATCCCACGAAAATCTGCAATTTTGGGTTAACAGTCTAGTGTCACTTTGTGAATCTTACTGGCAGATCAAAGAATCTAAATATTGATGCTTTGCAATATGTTTTGGGAGAAAAAAAAGCTCTCAATTGTTTGTGAAATAATCAATTTCTGCATGTGCATTTGCTCTTAATATTTATTGGCTAAGCTGTGAGTCAAAAGCTCTGATGGAAGACTTGTTCTCTAATTTATTATCACTGTACAAACCATAGATTTCCTATATCTTTTCTCTACCACGCACAGCAAAAGCATAAAAATCCTGACACTCACTTCATCTCCCACTGAGCTGGAGACACTCAGCCAGAGTTAACGTAATTCAGCAGCACACCTGAATCTCAGTTCATTTACTCCTGTTGTGGGGTTTGTCCCAGTTTCTCTAGGTGGAAGGCAGATGTCTTCCTTGCACAGCTCTGTATTTTTCAATAAAAGTCTTCCTTGCACAGCTCTGTGTTTTTCAATAAAAGTATCAGAGGTAAAAAAGAAAAGTGAGACTTTAAATATTCTTAAGGCATCATGTCTTATTTAAAAACTACTTGCAGATTGGCAGGCAGCTCGTAATATATTTATGGAGTAGATTATAAAAGTGAAGTTGTAAAATGATCCCTATATAGGTTTATAAAATATAAAATGGACAGGTAGAAAGATGAAGAATCCAGCTGGGAAACCAATGCCCACTACCTTGCATAACAGAAACCAATTCACAAAGAAAAAAAAATCCGTCACGAAGTGAGGCAAAAAGATGCTTGCTCTCCCTGGACTGATGGAGATTCTTTTGTTTCTGCCCTGTGCTTCAGGATACCTGTGTTGGGTTGTGTGTGGCCCTTTAGCCACTTAAGGCATTCCCCTGAAAACCACATAATCCCCAACAGAGAGAGTTTTCATCTCCCTAGCTAGGGCCACAATTCTGGTCACAACCCATGCAAGACACAGCCAGGGGACTGTGAACCTGGACCTCGTATGTCAAGCCCTAGGTGGTGATGTGAAAAAATCTTTATATAGTTTTTTTTACAGGCATAGGCCAAAGCATTTCAGCACACAGACAAGGCATTACTGGAAATGCAAGTGGGGACAGCACTGAGACATCCCTGATGAGGAAAGGAACTTCACCCTGCCTGGTGCAGTCAGTAGCATTGAACAAGTTGTGAGCTGTAGCAGCATGCAATCTTCCATCCCAGTCTTGCAGAGACTTACACATGAATTTAATATCTTAAACATGAGATAAAACTAAGCATATGCACTTCTCTGAAACAGAGACAAAACACGTTTTTTTTCAGGGGTGACACCTTCACTCAGAAGCATGTCTTTTACAATAAATCAACTTAGAGGAATGCTTCCAATCCATCTCAAGCTGTCACTTTACAGGGGGTTTGCAAGGACTGCAAAGTTGTTGTTTACAAGGAGCTAGTGCTTATTTCAGACTGTTTGTTCCAAGATGTTAAAGCAATAAAGCCCCATACGTGTTGCAGGGCAGGATTGTGTTCCATGCAGAGAAACAAACATGGATCTCTCCATCTGGTCAAGATCCTGTTGCCTCAGCTCATGTGTGGAGAAAATAACTTGTTCAGTAAATAGCTTTATCCTTCTTAAAAAACACTGATCCTGACAGCCAAAGGCAAAAGTGATGTTAGAATACCACTAGAGATGTTAGTCTGGGCTCAGCATTTGCCTTTGCTGCTTGCAATCCTAGGATAAATTCAGTATCAAAAAACTAGGGAATACTCAAGGGACTGGTGTAAACTAAGCAACTTCTATATTGGAAGTTGCTTTCGTTTTTCTGTTCACTTTTCTCTTGTATAGGATCAAAAGAGCAGTAAAAGGTCTGGTGATGACAAGTAAAGACCTTTAGCTCAGTTCAGGAGATACAGAAAATGGCTGGCCTGAGAGGAACGGGGCAGATTCTCTTCCTAAGGGCTGCAGGCTCACAATCTTTTCAGCTGCTTTCCCAGCACTGCTGTCCCCCTCTACACTGTGTGACCCTGTCTTTGACCTCTGATTAACTTGGATGCCTTACAAAGGAAGCTTCAGAAATCCAGCAGTGGTATTTTTAGCCTTTAGTCTTTCCTTGCCTTTGTACTGAATGACTCCCCACTTTCCTAAACCACCACCAGAACAATTAAAAATAAATCAAACATGATACTGTTTTCCTCTCTTGCAGGAAGCTCCCTCTGAAGTGATTTCCATAAATCTCTGTAAAGAGGTTGTTGTGCCTTCCCATAGTACAGCCAATGGCATCTGTGTCTTAAAGTAACTTTTTCCATTTCTGCTTCCCAACCTGCTGCCACATTAGTCCCCCTGCACCTTAAGAGGAAACTTGCAGAGGGTGTTTTCCAGGTCAGCTAAGTTTTCCTTATGCATCTCTCTTCTTCATAGCCATTCAGTCCAATCCTGGTCTTCTCCGAGAACTATTTTCCACTGCTGTCACACTCTGGTTGGGGGCCTTGCTGAGGGCATTTGAAGCATGTCTTGCAGCAAGGGACTGCTCGCACACTGGTGCCACAGGCATGACAGACAATAGAAGTACTGTAAGGTTTTCTTTCAGAGCAATCATTGCCAAAACAGTGGTCC